CCTCCTCCTCCTCCTCCGCTGGCTGGAGGCTGAGTCGAACCTGTCACCGGGGCTGACACCGGCTGTTGACGCTGCACTGTGGCTCGCTTCTTTGACGGTGTCGACAGGATTTTTCGGATAGTGCTCGTTTTCTCTCTCTCTCCCCGAGCTTGACACGGTCGATCTGAATTTGAGGCTCCCAATTACTGCGTTTCGCCCCTCGGGTGTGTTCTAATATGTCATATCATGAGCCATCTGCAGCTCTGTATCTCTAATATTCCCTCAATTACTGGCAGACTGAGAGGGGAATTTAAGATAGCACTCCTTCAGGCGATCTGGGTCTGCGGCACTCAAATGTGCTCGCTGTCTTGCTCCTCTACTTTAACTCATGCACTCTTGCTGTCTTACATACAAATGCTTCTTCCCTCCTATACTCTCACACACACACAAATCCCTCGGCGGTGGCGAGGCTCACTCCGTCTCTCACCGTGCCCACTTCATCAAACCTGCGCGTCATGGCTCAGGCCGGCGCAGGTAGATGGATGGCGGTGCCACGGGGGTGCCGTTGCTATGGCGGGTGAAAACGGCAGAGTCAGCGGGCCGGTGACAGTGATGAAGGCGAGAGCGGCAGGCTACCCCCGAGCACTAACAACACAGCGAACACAGCCAGAAGCAGACACTTGGTAACAGTGTGGTGTGATTAGATGCAGCCGTGTTTCCCAAAATGCTCTGCTTTTCTCAGGACCAACAAGCTGCAACATGACTCTTCTTTAATTAAATTCAAATCAGACAGATCAGTCATTTCCACAACTGTGTGTTGTGCATAATTAACAGTTTGTTACTTAATTTGACAAATGACAGTCAGGGCAGCAGACTGCATTCTAGTTACATTAGTTTTTTATTTATATCGTTTGATATTTAAAGGGGAACTCATGGGGAGTGCTAGTCCCCATAACAAACCGGGTTATTAAGTTAAAAAATGTTTACCAGGGAGAGACAGTGTAACAAAAGATGCCATGACTGCATCGTAGGAAATGTCGGATTCACTATGTCGTGATCTTGGCCCATACTAGGGACTAAAAGGTGAAATAACTCAGCCTCTGCTTTGATTTTGACTATTTTTATTTTAATCTGTCACTTGTGAGTCCCCCAACTTAAAAAACGGTAAGACTAAATTGCTTAGTACTTTAAATTATGTTTTTTCCTTTTGTTCCTTATCAAAATACACCTTTCTTAAATGCTACTCTCGCATAATAAATAAATTATGAAGAGTTCTCTAAATAGCACTCTAGACACTCAATATTTTGACCAGGACAGGATTAAGTACTGAAATTGATTGTAGGTGCCTTTTAACATTTAAATAGTAACTCTTCCACCCATAGGACACTAGCACTATGAAGCATTTTCAATGCTAATACTATGAAAAGGAATATGACCATGTCATACACGTACCAATAGATCAGAGTTGATTAGCCCTGTTGGTAAAGTAATTCAGGAATATCGCATTAAACTTATAAACGCTTGAAAGCTGTTGAAAAGATGTCAAAGTTTGTTTAAACGCACTACAAAGAGTTTTTAACAGGTTCTCAAACAGCCTAAATGTAACACTGATGCCTCTATATGAGCTACATACACAAACGAGACCATCAGCAGGAAGATTGGCCGTTTCAGTATCGTTATTCTTAATGTCTGAAAGGAGGCAGTGGAAACGCTAACCATTTTGTCCACAGGGGCTGCCAGAATCAACACAACTTTTGCCTGTTGCTGCTTTACATTTAAAAGTAAATGTCGCCAAAAATAGGAAAATATCACATTATTTAGCATATTCACTCAATGCTGTGATACATTAGTACTTTTAGTCAATGCAGTTCACTATAGCATATTTAGTTATGTTCTGTCTTTCAATTTATTCCTGAGTAAATTTTCATTTGTTGTACATCCTACAACTAATTACTTCTGTGTTTGCCCCATAGGAATCCTTCGTGTGTTATCAGTTTTTACACAGTGACAATCTCTCCATTGCAAACTGTGTAGTCTGTGCTGATGTCCCTTTATGCAGCAGATATTTTGGGAAAGTGGCGTGCTGTAGCTGTGTGGCTGAAGTGTAGAGAGTACAGTACCAGCAGAGGCCGTCCTCCCTGCCAAACAGCAAGTTGGACTGAGAAGCCAAGCTGTGGAGGGAGGTGGAAAAAAGAGACAAAGCAAGTTTAAAAAAGCTAAAACAGCAGGGAAACAGTGGGACGGAGGCCAGTCACGGTCAGTCACATGGTTACTACAAGAAAAAAAAAAAGGCTCAACAGCTGCTTCAGTCACACTGAGATGTTGTTAGAGGCAGAGCTGTACGGCAGGAAGTGTTAAAGCCTGTGCTGACACAAATTTGACAGTAGTCCACACGCAATGCATTTTCAACAGTCAGCTCTAATAAACTTGAAATCACTGGCTTTTCCTGAGCTGGGATCAGGCCAATGGGAATCCTCAATGGAGACTGCAATTAAAGGAATATACAGTGAATTCTCAAACAGTGTACTTCTAGGGATGCACCGATACCAGTACTGGTGGCTCCGATACTGCACCTGATACCACTTTACGGCAGTGTGATGTTGCATAAGCTCTCGTTAGTTGAGCAGGTAGAGTGAGGTTATTTTAAGCATTAACAGCATTAGCAACATTTATTAAGTATTCATATTGGTATTTGGTTTTGGCAAGTACCCAAATATAAGTATTTTTACTTGTATTTGGTCTGAAATTCGGTGTTGGTGCATCCCCGAATATATTAGAAACATCCCTGTATTTTAATCTGCTGCCATTTTACTGGTGAATTTGGGATGAAATAAGGCTACATATATAAGTTTTTCACACTTTTGTTTCCCTCTCAGCCTCTATTTTTCCAAACATGTAAATTCCTTTGAGTCTTTTATTTGAGAATTGATGTTGAATTTTGTAAGACTCCAACATGTTGGGAGCAGCTGATCTGATGCCACCTCGGTACTGGTAAGTAGCGGTTTTTGATACACAGCTCAGATTGCTGTGGAACAAAGTAACCTGTGACCATCCTAACGACTAAACTATACTATACTGTATGTTTGGTGCTAAATAAAACAGAAGCATTATCTTTCAGGTAGCAGGAAGCCAAATGAAGCCGCTGCTAGTTTTTACACTGTATTCTAGGAAAACACTGATTCCTCTGGGGAGGAACAGCCTCTGATAGCATGTGTGCATTGTGCCCTGCTGACAAACTGTGTCCTGTAAGCAATTTAGCAATGTGTGCACTGTCTGCAAGTGTTTTTTTACTCTCTTCAACCTCAGCTGAGAGAGGGAGGGGAGAGACAGGGTGAGAGAGACAGACTGAGAAAGACAAAGTGTGTTTTTGTGGACGAAAAAACAAGAACAAAATGAGAAGAGCACCAGGCAGAAACTTCAGCCACTAATAAAACATTGTATCCACTCTGTTAGCTCCGTACATGGATGGATCAAATGGACAAAACAACACTGATGCACTAGCAGACAACGTCCCTACAAGCAGTTCTGTTTATTTCCTGCTAAAGTGTCCCAAATGGAGGCCCGTCTGCCGATAACACATCAACTCAGTGAGGAAACAAACAACAAATGGCATCCGGAGAGCAATTCATAAACAGGCAAACCAGCTGAACGCCAGGCTCTGCAGGGAGGTGGTTCAGGGGGGCAGCCGCGACATTAACATTTAGATTGTGGAGTGAGCAGGAAGATGGGAGTCAACAGGTGTACGTTGAATTAAACCGAGTCTGACAAAAGAGCAGGAAATAAGCGGGAAGACGGAAGTAGCAGAACAGGAATGATTAAAAAGGGGGATGGAAGAGGGCAAGATGACAGAAATCATTTCCTCGTGGAGCCTGTGGCGAGGAAAAGTGTGGACGACAGCGAAGGCGAGGCTCACAGCCAAACCGTCATTCACTGTTTGATTGGAAGGGCTTGTTTGCTCGCTGTGAGGCCGCGCTGTGATGAAACCAAAAACAAACCGGAGCGGTCTGGGCTGCAGAAGTGCACACGTCTGCCCATGCTGTCCTAGGACGGCACGATTTTTCCGTTCTGCCGAGAGAACACTTTGGTGTGCTGGGAAAGCTTCCCACATTTCTGTGGCGCTCGCTTGTTTTCAGTGACAGCGAATCTGTCATTCGGAGCCCACACACACACACACACACACAGTAAACCTGCCTGGTGTTCACTCTATTGTCAAACCTGAGAGTGGATGAAATTAAAATGCTGCTTATTCAGTGAAATCATGACTATTGTTCCCAATGTTTTAAGGAATGTCTTGACTGCTTTAAAGCAGACGGACACTCTGGAAGCAAAATATTTTAATACTTACAAACTAGGGCTGCAACTAACGATTTCTTTTAATCATTGACTAATTTACTAAATATTTTCTTCAAACGTTTTTGGTCAATACAAAAAAAATACTTATTAATGTAGTTGCAGATTAACTTAATATATATGATAAATACATTGAGCCATCCTTTCAGCTCTACATAGAACATATAAAAGAACCTGCAATCCTGCACACTGTCCACATTTCTACTCACTTTTATGTGTGCAAGAACATTGTTTTACTACAACTGGGAATATAGAAAGGAAGGCTGTAATGAATATTGCACACTGGCATTCTAGACTGTAATATAAGTCTATTAATATATGACTTAAAGTAGTAACTCAATTCTTTTTATATCTTCATGCTAACATGCTCAGAATGACAATATTAACATGCTGATATTGAGCAGGTATCATTTTTATCATGTTCACCTACTTAGTTTAGTGTGTTAGCATGCTAATATTAGCTAATTAGTACCAAACACAAAGTACAGCTTGCAGGTATCTGGTCATAAACCAAAGTACTGCACAAAATCAAAATGTTGACCTGAAGATGGCGCTAGAGGTGGTGTCACCATCACCAAAGTGGACTGAGTTCATCCTAAAAGGGGGACATGAATGTGTGTGCCACATTTCATGGTGATCCAGCCAATAGCTGTTCAGATATTTTAATCAAAACGGTAATTGTCAGACCAAAGTGGTGGAGCGACAGACCGTTAGCAAGGCAAAAAAATTCACTGGTTCCAGCTTCCTAAATTTAAAGATGAGTTTTTCTCAGTTCCATAAAGTTGTGAATGGAATATTGAGCTGCTGGTTGGAGAATTATTCGAAAGATGCTTTTTTTCACTACTTTTGAAAGTCTATAGTTTGAATGATGAATAGGTGAATTGATAATAATAAGAATAGAATCAGAATGAGTTAACCCTATAGTAGACAGTAGTAAATTAAAGATAGAGGTGACATGAAATAAAACTCTTTTTGGCCCTCAGCAGAGAAGCAGTAGTTGGATTGCTTCGGCTAATACTCTTTGGGGAAAGTGAGTGCTGGCTGTCTCTGAGAGGTTGAACAGATCTGTTTGCTGAACGATTTGATACAATCTGGACAGCCATTTGTTAACATTTGCGAGGAGATATGAAGAGCTCTGCTGTGTATGAGCTGGTGAGTGTTAACTATGTACTGCTTTTTCAAAGATGCTCAACCCCCTGGAGTCACAGCTGCTGTATACAATAACAAACAACCTATTATCATATTTTCATGGACAATTTTCAGCTTGTCAGACAGAGAAACAAATAACAGTCTCACTCCTGACAGCTGGCATTATTTTTACTGTCTCTTTTTAACACATTTCCGTTATCTTTAATTTTCTCCTTTGTGGTTGAGCTGCACAGTCTCTTAAATTAACTTTATGACAAGATATGTGTGTAGCTGAGATTGCTCTGAACAAAGGCACTTCAACAGCACTGTCAATTGTTAAATGCTTATTTTGTATACCAAAAACTACCAAAATGAGATCAGATCTAAGAGTGTTTCAGGATATTAACTGATTATCAAACTCCATCAAATTACAAACTGCATCTAATTTAATGTTATCTGTATAAATAACTGGCTTTGACAGCTAAGCTACATCTAAATTATTCTTTTTAGTCATGCTACTGTAGGCATTTGAGGACTACATGTATCTGAGGAATTGAAACTTATTTCTGACTGTCAGCTGACATTGACAGCTAAATGGTGGAAAAGTAAAATTTTAATGCAGTAAGCATGTCAGTGGCGCAGAGCTGTGCGCTGGGACAGTGTTTGGGGCTGAAAGCAGCATCCAGAGACTTCTTTCATTCGAGAAGCTTGCGAGGCACTGCTGCTGTCACACTGCAGCATCTTCCTCTTTGTTCATGACACTTCCAAAGAGCTTCAGATCTTAGCTTTAGGTGGCATGAGAACTCTTTTAACCACACCAGTAAAGTGATAATCTGGGGGGGGAAAAAGTGCCTTGACGGAAGTGAAAGAGCGATGAAGTACAGACAGAGCAAAGCAACAACAGGCATCACATTCAACAAACAAATGGAGAGAAAAGATGGTTTAATATCAAGTTTGTCATGTAATTGCATCTCTTGTGTAATTTCTTTGGGTTATTTTGTTATTTTGGCTTATAACTGAGCCTGTGAGCAGTGTAATAACGTCACAGATAAAAAGGCATGGCAGAGCTGCGTAGCACTACAATGCTATCATGTCATTCACCTCAGGTTAGCAGCAAAATTGGAGATGCAGTTAACCATCTCCGCATTCTGTTTCTCTGCACCCCACATGCTGTGGAGAAAAAGGGGGGAGGGAGGACAAAACAAGAGGCAGTTATAAGCCGCTCCCCCATCCACAGGTTAGCCTAGCACAGCCAGACTGGTCACACAAAGACTTAACGCTAATAACTGCTACAACATAAATGTGCCTGGTAGGGCTCAGGCCAGGTTAGCTCTGAAGACTCTGAAATCATTTGGAAACATTTCAACTTTTATAGATGTGAGACTTTTACTGAAGACAGCTCCCACCGACCTGTAATGTGCTAACAGAGTAGACAAAATACTGTGAACACCTCGATGGCAAGGACCTAATCTCTGAAGTGACTTAATCACAAAGGCACAGATACAAGTCGGTCAAAAAGCAACATGAGACGTCTAAACTGCAAACAAATCTCAAAGGAAACTATCACAGATCATGAAGACATTTTACAGAAAATGTGCACTGATATAACGCAGTAAAGGAACAGTGGTCACAAATAAAGCTGTCAAATGCTGCTTAAATGACATCATATGTTTTTCTTAGTTACTTAGTTACTTTCTAAGTTTAAATTTCATCTATTCCCTGTAGGTTATGGGCTGATAAGATTAGATAAGAGAAGATTGGCCATTTTTATATCGTTATTCTTAAGCTTCTCTTGAGAAGCTTAAGATGTTTATGGCCCTGCACAGCCACACAGGTGGTTTCAGTTCTTATGAATCTTAAAAACACATCTAAAAACTCTCACTCCGCCTGTTTTGTCAAGGATGCTTTGGTTAATGCTGATAGTATCCCAGCATGCATTCTGCATCAACTAGAGGTGATGACGTAGAGTTTGTGCCAGGCTCACATCTGTTATTGTGAAGCAAGTAACGTTTTAACAAGGTTCAGCATTAAGATTTCTATATGTGATCAATTTATTGAAATTAGGACTATTTGATTGTATTTTCCATGTCAACGTCCATCATCACTCCAAGGAGAACGATCTTTTCTCAGAGAGCCCTTCAGTAATTTACTCTGGCTCTGATGTCTCCACAGTGTTTCAAATGTAACACATAATGAGTGAGTTAAACGTAGATCTATATCCAATATTTGTTAATGCCAAATTGGTTCTTCTGAAGGTTCACGTCATTCTATCATTATTTTTTATAATTTTAACATTGTGAAATATTGCCCTGCATCCTGAAGTTCGGAGGAGAGGACTAACCAGCCAAAACTACTGAAAACACCTGTGTGGGTGGGCCAAAGGGGCAGTAGTGTTCCCAGACTCTGAGTGGCAGGGGGGCAAAAAAACTAAAAGGGACACCTATATCACAAGTAGGGGTTAGGCTTCATTTAGCTTTAAGGTAACAGTGGAAGAAGTGCACTTTGGGGGGGCTCAGACCGACTACAGGGATGGGAGTGAGTCCTGTAGGGTAAATTTGTTCTGACATCACATCATCTCCATTATTTACTAGCTGGCCAAACGAGAAGAGCGCTGAAGTAAGAAGTTTGAGCCAGGCCAGCTTTTACAGTTTCGTGTGCCGGATAACACAGCTAGCAGCCTAGCCTCGCTACCAGCAGCTAAATGAGAGTGGGACTCCAGTGGGAGTCGGAGCTGAGTGTGCGAGAGGGGGGAGTATCTAGGTCACCACAAAGATGAATCAACCACAGCTGGGGTGATGCTACAGCTTTGTACGGGAGAGGTGCTTCAAGTGTTTTATGCATTACGGTGTACTGAATCAGCTGACATGCGTGACACTCGTAAAAAATCTACCGGTTGGATGTTTAAGGGGAAGGTCAAAGGTCAGGAAACAGCGAATCAATCTCATTTACGAGTTGCCTAAATGAAGCAAAAGGGAGCTTACACCAAGTTACTGAGCGACGCCAAGCTCAGCTGCTGCGGCTGTTGCTGTTGTTGCTGCTGCTGCTGTTGTTGCTGGGAGACTGCTGGTTGCTGTTGCCAGGCAGCCATGTTGCCAGGCACCAGCCCTGGTGGTGTGAACGTCTGGAGCGCTGTGAGATCTGCACTCGTCAGCTGGTACTCTGAGATTAAGGGATGGAGGGAGAGACGCACAGGGAGAAAGAAAGAGAAAGGAGGTGGAGAGGAGGGGTGAGGGGGGGATTGTTTTACATCATACAACTTTTCTGGTGCATCAATATTAATCAGGGCTAATCCATATTAATGGAGACCTTTGAAGTAGAATCATTCCAGAAGCCCTCACACAATGAACAAAGTGAATATTCATAGTGGTTTGTGGCATCACACTGCGAGGTTTTCACGTTTCTCTACATGACACTCAAGATTTTCCATGACATAATGCAGACTATATCTCTTACTTGGCTTTATGTTTTATCTTTTTCCAATTTTTTAAACTCTTTCCTGCGCTGATGTAAACAGACAGATTGCGTTTGAGCTGCTAAAATGTCCCGTGTTGCTGTGAGGGGGGCAGTGGTGCCTTCACTGTCTTACCGGTGTTGTAGGCCGTCTGCATGCCGGAGAAGGGCGCTAGGAGACTGGGTGTTGCCACAGAGACCACTGGTGTGGTGAGCGACTGGGAGCCACCTAGCCGCTGAGCATTCTGGGAAGACAGAAAGATGGATGGAGGAAGTTAAGAGATCGGAGGCAGAAAAGGTGATTACTGCTACAGTGCTTCTAAAAATGGGGATCTGGGGGCCCTTCAGGGGGCCAGATGGTGGTTCTACGGGATCTCCAGCTAAATGAAGAGTAGTCTGATTTCTTAAAAATTGTATTTATAAAAACTTAACTAATGTAATGATGTATAAAACTCTTAATCTGTATCTCCTCTGCGTACAGTGTAGATAACTCAAGCAAAAATGTATGTTTAGCAGTTTTCCAATGGAAGTCTGGCACTGGTGTGCTTGTATCTGAACATTTTGGTGTCAAAACTTTAAGGCATTGTGGTTTTACATATACCAAGAGTCATGTCAGAGATGCTTAAACATCAGCCTAAGATTTACAACCAAACACTTTCTTTCTCAGATCTTTGGATCCAGTGTCGTGAGAAAATCTGGTCCGGTTCCACAACGAATCGTGCCTTTTTCTCCTTATATGGGCTGAGTGTAGGAGTTCACGGCACATGACTTCATCCATTTTCAACAGCAATAATGATAATGGTTAGCATGTGCTTTCCACTGTACAGCAGAGTGGATGCAGAGACCTTGTAATGTGACTGAGAACAATTTAATTACACTGTTACTACTGAAATATTTCACTATAAACACAGCTTGTTCTACTTCTAGTTGAACTAAAAAACAAATACATTATCCTGTGATTTAATTGTACCCTCTGCTTTAAGAAGCTGAAGTGCAGCAACTCTAATTAACTTTCAACCCTCAGTTTTATAGGCAGACTAAATAAAGAAAAATATTCTTAAACAAATCCAACAGGCACTAATAACTAAAGTCTGACATAATAAAGAGTTACATGACTGTGCAGGGCAGTGGAAGATGTTTTATTCATCGTGCCACAGACAGAAGCTTTCCTGCTCCCTTTGAGGAAATCCAAGCCCCTCAGTCCTCTCTGAGGCGTCTAACTTTTTCGGTGACAATTTAACATCTCCGTGCAAGATGAGAAGTGTCTCGCATCTCAAGGTGGCGTTGGCACGGCAACGCTGTCGCCAGGGCCGGGCCGCTCGTGTTATGTAGCGTCACGATGGAAGGTGTTATGAGAGGCATCGCTGTGCTGGAGAATCATGCTGACAGGAACGCATGCATCGACAAGGCTGACAGAGGAGAGATGAACGGGGATGTAAGAATGTGTTTGTATTGAAAAAGGATGTGTGTAAATGTGTGCAGAGAGGTATGCGAAGAATTATTACACAACGTGAGGTGTGTGTGTGTCTATATTAATGTTGAGAAATATGCATGAACACATGTTAGCATGCATGTGCGTGTGTGTGTAGGACTGAAAGGGTCAGCGTGTCGGACTCCAACATGTCCGTCTGTGTTCCAGGTGGGAGACTTTGTGATCTTTCTTCACTCTGATCCTCAGAGCATCGACACTCAGATGAAACCAAACATGCACATGCTGAGCAGCTTTCACACAGAGCGGAGAGTCAGCTGGTTGCTCCGGATCCCTCAATACTCCCACTATAGACTGTTTGTACAGCGCAAATGTCACTTTAAGCTTTACTGTACCATCACATTTAGCACAATATAAGCACACACATTTTAGTTTTGCTGCTTTGCCTTTTATAAAAGTAATTTCTGAAATGTTTTATGTCACAAATTGCAACATTTTTATGTATATTTTGCTTCTAAAACAAGGAACTGGATGTTTGGGTCAGAATTATTTATTTTTTGCTGATGTTGGGTGGTCAAAATGTCTAACTCCAGTCTAACGGTATGTTTGGAAAAGGAAACAATTTATCTTCCTACAGCACGAAGTCAGCACTTATATGTACTATTATACAAATAAAACTACTGGAATTTAGATTAAAAACCAGCAGATTCAAATAAATAAATATTGTTACATCAAAATGGAATATTGGCTTAAGGGCATTTTCATTTCATTTGTCTTTTTAAGCACATTTACATGCTATTTAGACCAATTGTATCACTGTTAAGCTTGTCAAGAGCGCAGTAAGATGAGTAAGTTACTGGCAAACACAACATAAAGTCATAAAGGTCTGCTGGCTCTTCAAACGGGCTGACTCGCACTCATTACCACTCGTGTATAAAATGTATTTCTGGTAAGAGCTGTTTTAAAGTTCCCCTCCACTGAAAAATCCGTTTCCCTACTTGTTCCTGCAGTCGGATGTTTGAGCTTCTCTGTGCAGAATGATGTCTGTGCAAGAGTTTGACACTAGAAGGATGTTTTCACATTCATCTACTGAAAGTTGGGAAAGTTTCTCTGTGCTAATTGAAAATCTGATTTTAATTATTTGTGACATCACAAATCATTTGGAAATCAATCCTGGTCCAGTATGCAACTTACACACAATACAAGTGTGATGTAGAAACGTGAAGCCAGCAGTGCACACTGAGAATGGAAGTGAAGTAGGAGACATCTTGTGTCCAGCAGGAAAACTTTAAAATGTTATAGATTCTGAAATGTTTAATGAGGTAGAAGGAGAAGATGACTTTTTAAGTGGAAATTATACTTTTTTGCATCAGACAGACATTATCACTCCAAGCAGACTAATGTATATACTGTATGTCTTAATACATGTCTGGAGGGGATCTGTAAGTAATTACATTTTGGGAAATGTGCTAATGTGCTTTCTTGCCAAGAGTTATATGAGAAGATCGATATCACTCATGTCTGTATGCTAAGTATGAAGCTTAGCCAGGAAACAGTTTGGTACCTTACCCGCCGTAAAAAGGCAAACTATGGTTTTAACACTTGCACAGATTAAACAAATGAGACACAAAGTGTTAATTAGTGAGCTTTAGAGGTATTTTTAGGCAGATTTTGTTTCCTTCAGACGGAGCCAGGCTAGCTGTTCTCTCCTGTTTCTCGTCTCTATGCTACGCTAAGTTAGCCGGCTGCTGGTGGTAACTTTATATTTACAGAGTGGAGTTTCTGTCTATCTGAGTTCTCATGTTTGTGACTTGACTCCGTGGGAAACCTAATAGAGCCCAGCCTGAAGTGAAGGCAGAAATGTTCGAGGAACCAGTGGAACCAGCTGATCTGTCCACTGTGCGTCTGTTGCTCTGATGCTCTGAGTTCACCGGGTGCTCTGACGCTCTAACTGCTCTTCTTCTACTCTCGTCATAGCACCGGTGCCACTGAGTCAACCCCGATGGGATGCGTTTGCTGACGGTGTCACACTCATGCTCGGTGAGATCACACAGAGTTCGACACCACATCCACGAGGCTAGAAGTCTAGAAGTCTATTCACCTCACTCACCAACTCCAGCTCTTCCTCTGTCTGCACGGCGGGCGGAGGAGGAGGGGGTAGAAAACAGAGGACGGTTACGTTTCTACAACAACTAACTGCAGTAAAATATGAACATATGAACTTAATCTCTAGCCAGGACGCATTATAACAATAACCTACAGGGATGCCTTTACATGTATTCGACTGAAAGCAGTGCCTCTAGTCTTTAAGCAGTGTTGCAGAGTTGAGTCTGAAGTTGAACTTCTCAACCATGAAGTCAGAATTCAGACAACCTGATCGATGGCTGATTGAAGGAGACATCTGGATCCAGATGTTGAATTGCACAACAGGAAGGATGAATATTCACAACATCTAGATGTGTTTTTTAAAACATCTCCAAGAAGTCTGTCTTGGATTTTGTCTATGGTTATGTGACTTAAGACTTTAAACTCAATATCCTTTCATTTAAAATGCTGTAGAAATCTAAATTTAACTGACGCTGCAGAAAGGAAACTATTGGAGAAAGATTTAGAGACACTGGAGAAAATGCTCATCTTTCATTCTTAAACATGAGCTCATTATATTCATTACTTCTAAGGTTGGATAAGTCAAGCCAAAAATAGGGAAACTAATGTAAATTTGACATGCAGTTTCTGACAATAAACAGCTTCTACATAATGGGCCTCATACAGAAACATTCACCAAACTCTACCTGCACAAACTCGTCTAACTTGCTCGTTTCAATGTGATGATTGCCAGCTGTTCATTAATGGGTGTGCTTTTGTGACATTTCATTGTTAGCGCAATCAACGCCCCTAAACTGCCACATAAGGTGACCAGTTGTGGGCTCATTTTGTGGGAAAGTTTAATAAAAAAAACTTACGTTCTACATTACAGTCAGAATCATGTCAGTTGTTTCCAGCTTAGCAATGTCAGTCTACCCAAAACCATTCGAAATAATACTACAGCTGTCAACACTATCATCACAATACTGTGACAGAAATAAAGAGGGAATGGCTTGGCATGAAGTTGGACACCAAAACCCGTCTTGCAAAAGCAAAGATAGAAGCAAGGCTAAAATGGGAGGCGGCCAAAGGGACGAGACAGTAATGGGAAATAGATTCCATGATGTTGCACGATGTCGGGTGCAACAGAGGATGTTCCCCGGACAACCACCTGCAAGACCCCGAGGCTAAGAATGATCAAACTACACAACGACTGAACTGTTTAAATAAAGCTGAATTTGGACCCAAATTCAGTCAGATTGAGGCATTAAAACTCTCGTGTCAAACAAGTGTTTTTCCCATTTTGAGCTAAAGTAGGATTCATCAGCTCTGACTACATGTTTTGCCCCGTCCCATGTGAGTCTGGACTCATCATTTGTCCCTGTGTGGCTGCCATAGTTCTCCTCACCAGCTGCATGAGGCTCTTGCCGCTCTGCGAGGTGATGACCCTCAGGTCCGGCTTGCGGCTGTTGACCATCTGAGGGCTGGGCGGAGGCGGAGACTTAGCCGGGACTACTTTCCCCAGGCTGTTGCCGTTGGATACGGAGAGGAGGCCCGGGGAGGCCCTGGCACTGATGTAGCCATTAGCTGTAGAGACACAGAAAGAGAGGGAGAGATTTAGTGAAGAGGGAGGGATGGAGGAGGTTGTGTGTTTGTCTGTTTTGATGTTTTTAGTATCTGGATCTACCTGTGAACTCTGTCTGTACTTGTCTGTCTGAGTGTGTATATTCAGCTCCTGTGTGTGTGTGTGTGTGTGTGTGTGGCGATGTCTGCCTGTGTTCTCATTAGCGAGTTGGATCACTCCGTCGCACCACATGCTCCTCATTGTATCTGCAGCTCAAACAGTGTTTTTTTGGCGGCATTCTGATTTTTCTGCAGCTCCTCCACATCAAAACCATGTCACTCTCCTACAGAACTATTTCATTTCCACTCTCTTGACGTCTCTCGGCTCGGTGAAAAACACACAAATGTCTCTGGACTCTTTCCATCTTACACTGCAAAAAATATCATGCATGACTTCACTTCCAATACATCCCAATTATTAGTGCTTTCTCTGTGGAGTGCATTTCCCACGTGGACCTGTGTAACTGCATGTTATTATAAACTGTGAGATTAGCTTGTGTCAAACATTTTCCCTGATGAAAGAAATACCTAAATTGAACCTAAGTCTGCAGAGCATCTTATTCAAGATTGGATGTTTCTGGCATTCTTGCTGCAATGTGTTTAAATTTAAAATTTAAATGAGCGCTGATATTTTGAACCAAGACACAATAGGGAAGAAAAATTAGACTTGTTTCTTCAGGAATTCTTGAAAGTGTAAAAAAAGACTTTTGATATTTAAAAAGGATACGTCTGGTGATATTCTGTGTTTTTCTTATTGTCAACAAATCCTACGAAAAGACCAAAACCAACAATGTGTTATTCTGTCTCTTAATACTGTCTCTACCCTGTCTGTGGCTCTCAGTCCTAATCCAAATGGTTCCTACTGAACACATACATCTTTAAAAACAGTCCAGAAATATATAATAACATTTCTTAAAAGGCTCAGTAATGTCCTGGAACAGCTGTTCACTGTAGTTTTTATCAAACGTTACTCAAACAGAAGTGCATTTGTTGAGGACTATTTTCACCGGCGGATTAATCCACATTTGGTGCTTTAGTGAGTGTGTGGTGCAGCAGGACGGTGTATGTGTGATTGAGACAGAATAAACTACAGCGTGTGTGTTCATGGTAGAGAAAGAACATGTCACCCAGTGCAACAGTGTGGCTCATTGATGTGTTGTGTGTGTGTAGCTCTATGGTACGCAAACAAAACTTGTTAGTAGGATACAGTCATTGTTGGTTTTGGTCTTTTCATGGGATTTGTAAAGAATATCATCAGACTTATCCTTTAATAATAGTTTTTAAAAAGAGACTTCTTTTGCAGTGTACAGTACTCTTGCTTTTCTGTTTCTTTCTCACGGGTGCATTCCAGCAACATGACAAAACGTTACGTCTGGTGAACGCACCCTCTTCTTAAACTGGTCACATTCCAAACTACTGCTTTGCAACGCAACAGATTTTCTGAAAGAAACAACAGTACCTGATACATGACACACTTCAGTCGCAGAGCTGCACCTGTGGGTGTGTGTGTGTGTGTGTGTGTATACATACTTTAACGGTGCTTTTAAGGAATATTAAGCAATACTGTTGGTTTAGTTGTTAGTTTCTTTTTCATATTGATATCTTTTATACTTTTACACTCTAGATCATAGGTTTGAATTTTTCAGTGTATTGTTCAATTAAGCCGTTTATATAAAAAATAGGAAATGGGGGTTGGGGGTCCTGGGGGGGTCTGGGTGTCATGACAACAGGACTCCAGCAGACAGCAGCCTGTTCATGCTGCTGAGGTTAAAAGTAGAGCTCGATTCAAATAGTCACAGTCAGACACTGTGTGTATAAAAGGGGGACAGCAGGGACTTTCCCAGCCCTGACACACACACACACACACACACACACACACACACACTGTATTCCCTTCGGACAGGCAGAGTCAGGGCGTGTGTGTGATAGCAGATAGCAGTTCGCCATGACGCCGCCTCCAGACGACAGCGGCATGTGACTCTGCTTCATCTCAGTCACACACACTCCAGGGAGACACACACACACACACACACACACACACACAACCCATGAGCTAAACCTGACAACAACAACAACAACAACAACAACAACAAATGAACACTACCTCTCTAACCGCTCAGTGGGAGGGAGAGAGGGAAGAAAGGCGGCAAGGAGAAAAAACAGTTACAGCGAAAAGAGGGGTGATGGAGACAGCGGGAGGGAGAGGTTTTGAGGGTGTGGCGATGGAGGGGAATGAAGGGAAGATAAAGATGTAGAAAGAAAAGACAGTGGAGGTGGAGGAGCTCTGCTGAGGAAAGTTCAAGGGAAGGAAGGGTGAAGGGAGGTAGGAAACGGGAGACGTAGAAAAAGGAAAGGAGGAAGAGATGGCGGAGGTGGCGAATAACAAAAGGCAGGAATGATGTAGGGAAGAAAGCAGGGAGAGGTAAAGGAGGAGAAAAGAAAAAAGGAGACAGAATGAGTTGTGGCTGGAAAGAGGTAGAAAGAGAAGAAAAGAGGTACGATGGAGCTGTCGGATAATTGAAAGAGAAAGGAGGTAGGGGAGGAAAGAGGAGGGAAAGACGGTAGGAAGAAAGTAGGTAGAGAATAAAAAGATGAGGTATGGAGGGAAGAAAAGGGAGTGAAATACAGAGCAAGGAAAGAGAAGTAGGACGTAGGGAAGGACAAAGGGGAAAGGAGGAAAGGACGTAGGGATGGAGAGGGGAAGTAAGAAAGGAGGCAAGAAATGAGGTAAAAAGAAGGAGGGAGGAAGCTAGGAAGGAAGCAAGGAGGTAGGGATTGAGAGAGAATGTACAGAAAAAGTGAAATAGTCCTCAGCAGGCATCTGACCAAAGAGATCACCTGTGCCCTGTTGACGCACAGTGGACCCTCCCTGCACTAGGTGTTTCTGGGAAATCCTATGACCCCCTCTGTGTGTGTGTGTTTGACATTATGTGAAATATGTGTGTTTTTGCAGGTGTCCATAAGCCAACACCAAATCCCCATACAGACACAGCCCGGGGTACTGGGCCTGTGTGTGTGTGCGTGTGTGTGTTTACACTATACTGTACTACTCATGGTTTTACTGGCAGATTTTTTCCTGCATTTTTGTGTGTTTCTATGTTCCCTACAGTCATTTTTACTAGACCCCGGATGCATTCCTGTTTGAAAATAAGTGAGCAGATTTAGGGGTGCAACTATAAATTGTGGAAAAACATATTGTGACATGAAAATGTGACAGAGCGAAATATCGTTGCCTGAAAGTGCTGACAGGCATAAAAAGAACCAGTCTTAAAGGGCTGGTGCACCAAAATGACAAGAAACCCACTTTCACAGTTACCTTGAGTTGTATCTAACAATGTAGATGGTGTTATCTGCTGAGGTTTCTGCCTTCAAATACAATAGAAGTAAATCAATTTGAAATTTGAACTCTACTCACTGTGAACAATTTTCCCTGGAAATCCTTCCTACAGTAGAAATAGTCCCTACAATAAACGCTGACAGTAAGTTCTGTGAATTATTTGGAGAAGCTGGGACATGTTTTTCAGATGTGAGTCTTCATGCTGTGAATACCACAACCAAAATCCTGTTGACCTCCAGTGTGTTGACGTGGAGATGTCTCAGATAGACCTGTCAATAATTACGTTATCGATATGTACAATAAAGACTATATGTAATTATCGCCTCCCACCATTACTGTCGAAGTGTTTGTTAACAGAGCCAGAGAGTCCGTTTTATTTATTGTTTTGGTTGTGCAGTTTTATTTATGTATTTTGATCAAATAAATTCAGTTCCAAGAATGACAAGTCCATTGCTTTTAGACAGGGCGTGTTTGCATTATTATGCCAATCATTATATGAGTGACAAAAATATTGTTTATTAGGGTTATAATCACAGTAGTTGTCTCGACAGGCCTAATCTCAGAGACAAAATACCTCATATATACGTAAGAAAACCATAACTATCTGCATGGATGTGTTTTTTCTGTTGTTGGGTGAACTGACCCTTTAAAAAGAAGAAGAAGGTTCAACCTCAGATATTAAAGACTTTTTTTCTTGTAGTATTCGTATTTTACAGTAAAACTAAAAGAATAAGAAGTATTGAACTAAACTCCTAAAAGTAAAAATGGTGAAACTTTGTTTGCACATTATGCCTAAAGAGAATTAAAGAGAGTTTGTTTTTGTTGTGTTTTTGTTTATTGAGCTGTGGACCCTGTATTTTGTATTTGTGAGATGGCTGTATCATAATACTGTGTGGTGCGTCTGTGTGTGTGTTTGTGTGTGTGTGTCTGTTAAAGCTTGCATAAATACACTCCTATTCTGAGAGTGTGAGTCACAGAAACATGTTGATGTGTCTGTGGCTTTATTTATGTATGTCGACTGTTTTGTATGTACTTTTTGTTTATACCCTTTACATGTAAGTACATTCAGTGTGTGTGTGTGTGTGTGTGTGAGAGTGAGAGAGATGTCTCCTATTACGCGAGGCCGGGCGTGGGAATGTGTGGAATGCCGGGTGACGTCAATGGTGACATTCCCGAGCCCCGAGTCCCTGGACAACAGCTGAGAACGACAAATCCAAGAGAGGAGGACAGGGAGAAAAGAGAAGGGGAGAAGGGAGGAGATAGAGTGGAAGAGGGAAGAAGAGGTGAATGGAGGGCAGAAGAGAAAAGCAGAAGTGGAAGAGATGAGGGACAGAGAGGAAGAAGAAGTGGGGAAGCGAAGGAGAAGAGAGGAAGGGATGAAAGGAGATAGCTAGAGAAGTGGGAGGAACAGCAAAGAGGAGAGGAAGAATTATGGACAAGAAACTTGAGTGAAAGGAAAAAGAAAGAAGAGTGGAGTTAGAGTAAAGAAGAAAGGTTAGGTGAGAAGGAAAGGAACTGGTAGAAAATGAGAAAGGAAGAGGCAGAGGGAGTGGAGGGAGGAGGGGAGCAGGCTGTCGGGTGGATCGGGTCACCTGAGCTGCATTTTGGGATGAGGAGGTTTCATGTTTCGACGCACGAAGGAGTCGTGACTTTGTTACAGCGAGTTGCAGGTGATAGTGACCGAAACGCTCAACCACAGCACGAAAAACCACAACAGCAGGGACAGCAGGGAAAGACCCCGCTGGAGGATGGAGCAGAATATTAGATATCAGATAATATTATAAGTCTGTACGTCTGGTGAAATGGCAATAGCTGAATGAACAAACGCATTTGTCAGAGTAGATCTACAGATATATACCGAGACGGAACAAGTCACAAGACATCCCAATACAACACAAAGTTTCCAAAAAGTTTGTTTCGACCGATGTGTGGATAATCCGCAAGTTCACTAACATCCTCACTTTTTTTCCACACCTCGGTTCTTTACAGATGTGATATTCAGGAATAATTGGATTATTCCAGTGCAAAACTTCACAGTAAACTACTGTAAAACATTAAAAGCAGTGTCCCAATTAGACACAGGTCTCCTTAGCTAGCCTGGTGTGGCTACACGTTTTGACAACTAAACGTAGATATCAATCAGCCTGGTCTGGATTTTATAGAACTTCTTTGGATGCATAAAAGTCGCCCGCTTGAGCGGGTTCTAAGCTGCTTAGATCACCTACACAAATATAAATTGTTTAAACTTCGACTTTGTTGATATGGATGCTACACATCATTAGATCGGTTAGATTCTCTACAATTCAATCGGTCAGTTCATTTTACGGAAACCACGAGCCCCAAAGTATCGAATGACTCGTGATTGATGTTATTCAGTAGCCTAATTTTATACAAGTAATATTCATACTGGTTTAAATAAACAATCTGATAGCATTTCCCATCTTTGCTTTGCAGAATTTTATGCAAAAGGAACTGAAGGCCTGTCCCATACGAAGGCAGGTTGAGTTCAGTGACTGAAGCAAATAAAAGCCTGGGCTATCAATGGATGCCTTACGGTTCTGATATTTGTCTAATGGCTGCGTATGTTGGGAACACCTACTTGTTGAACACCTACTGAGGACCTGCAGCAACGGTTCAATCTATCAACTAATGCTGAGAGTACCAACTCATAAGGTTCATGATAAGGTTAGGAAAAACTGACTCATTAATTAACTGCAATCATGAATACAACCATTCACTTGCCAAAACATCGTTAAAGTTTGATTTTATTGGTCTCAACCACAGACACGTCATTGATGCATTTTTCCAATGGTAGACAAGATCAACACAGAAAGCTGGACCACTACCAAGCAACTCTAACAAAACAAACTCTATATTTACTCTTCTATTTATTCTTGATTGTAGTGTGATATCATGTTCCAAAAGTAGTTTGATGTTGCGATATCTGCACTTCCTCTTTTTGATGAATTATGTGAACACTTGTGCATTGATCAAGGACAACTTTTAACAACGCTGTTTCATAGAACGTATATACTCTTTCATCAATAGCCTTGAAACACTAATATCAATATTGAAACTTGGCATATTCCTCTGATACAGTGCATGGAAGTTAATATAAATGTATTGATTTCTTTTGGCCCACCTTACCCTGAGACAATATGTTTATCAAGTGAATAAAGAAAGAAGAAAAAAAAACACCTTCCCACCATATCTATTACTACGGGCTGGCTGGCAGTATCTGTCCCGGCTAATGGGATTTAAGGGGAGAGCTCTGGCCAGTGTCAAAGTCACCTCTGAGGAGAGTCCTGTGCCAAGACAAGGGACAGTTGGATGAGGGGTGGGGGTGGGGCGGTAGATAATTCCAGAGAGAAGACGAGGGGGAACAGCTGAGAGAGACAGGATGAAAGGGGGAGGGAGAGGGTGTAGATGGAGAGATGAGGGGGGAGGAGCAGTGGGTGAAGACAGGAAAGCTGAGGAGCGTTGAGCAGACTGCTGTCAGGATCCCAGGCGGTTTTACCGTTAGAGTAAAACTCTCACGTTACTGACTCTAATATTTGGCTCCCGGCACTACGTCAACCTAAATCAGCTGGTTTCCAGTTCAAGGTGTGACTGTTAAAAGTTTCCAGCCTGCCTGGTTTCAGACCTCTGAATCACCACCCACATCTGTGGTTTCTTCATCGACTTGAATAGGTCCAGTGTTGTGCTCGCTGATGGCTGTTTCCCCTGGTTGGAGAAACAATCAACCGAGAATGGGGACGTTATCTTCCTACATAGATTGGTAGCTACATCCTTGAAAAACGGCCACAAAGATGGGAACAGCTGTACAGGTTGTCCACTTACAGACATAACAACTCTTATATTTCTTTTATTGTTGTGAAAAATGTTAAAGGCCCAAAAATGTTAAAGGCCCAGAAGCGAAGCGATGGCTTCCAACTTTTTGCAGTTTTGGTTATTTCATGTGAGAGAGTTCTGTGTTTTTGTTTTTCTTTGTGCTCTTCTGAAACCAGGTTTTCAGTTGACTGCTCCTACCAACCACTACTGCAGTACTGGTGTTGACTGAAGATAGCACTGGGACTGATCCGTCACTCGCTACTGATTGGTTAGGGCAAAACTAAACCAAAGAACCCCCTTCCAATCAACTTGAACATGAAGTCAGCTGTTTGACTGCTGAAATCTGCTCCATTTTTCTCCAGTCTATTTTTCTTTTTCTTTATCTAGTCCCAATTAATGTTCACAGTGAGGTCCGCGAACATTTGGACAACACAACAATACTGGATGCTTTTCAACGTGTAGAGCAGAACAAATGAAATTCCAGTCACTGAATTCTTAGAATAAAAAGTACATTTCTTAAAATCTCAGCACATTAAACCCAAACAGCATGGCTGCATACCAATAACAGTAAATAGGAAGATGTGTTTCTGTATGTGTGTGATTCGGTGGAGGAAAATGCAGTTCCAACTTGTAGAACTTGTTTAGATTATAGAACTATAACAGAATACAGGAATGAAGTAGTGCTTTAGCCATCATCTTAGATTCATATTAAAAATATGGGTTATTGAGTGCCACAAGAGTAAAGTCATTTTGACATTATAATTGGAGTCGAAAAGAAAATCGATGACAAACGCTTTAATCAGTCAAGCAAGTCTGGAACTGGGTTTTATGGGTTGGCAATACTGGTGACAGGAACGCAATGTTGAGCTCATATTCAGGCATTTGTACCAGCTGGCACACCGGACTAGGTCAGTAATATTTCCAAATTTTTATTCAACTTAGTTCTGGTTTCCAGGACACATTCACGAAAACAACACCAAACACAAAAGCAGCTGAGGAAGTTCCTCTGTACTTTTCTGTCAGTTTCTGTTCCTCTTTTCAACCTCTCTCCTCCTCGTACAACCTGAAACCCATTCTGTTCTTTGGACTGTTTACAAGCAGCTTGTGCTGTGACCTTCAGCTGTCGCCAGTCAACAGGTGTTTTCGTGCTTGTGTGTGTGTGTGTGACTGTGTTTGAGTTGTAGCACACGTGACCGCCTGTTGCCACACATAAAATATTCTGCGTCGCTCTGCCTGTAAGTCAGACTCAAAAATCATTTCCATTTTAAAGCTTCCAGTTAAAATACAGAAAGCAGAATGGGGCAGGGTGGATGACATATAAGTGTGTGTGTGTGTGTGTGTGTTTGTGTTTGCCAGTGCAAACTCAACTGTTCTAAAAAGCGTAGCGAATAAAAGTACTACTTACGAACTGGACTTGGGCACGCTCCGTTTGAATTCCCCAGATCTCCTCCTAACAGAGCACCTGGGACACAAGAACACACCGTGACCATTAAATACAACAACGCTGAGATTATTTCATATTAAACAGTTAATCTGAACAGCACTAATCTAAAAGGCTGCATGTCCCATTTTGAAAAATATCATTAAATCAAGTATGTCATTAAAAAAGCGCTTCTGCTGTCGACACTTACTTCACTCGATGAAGGACCATAATTGGTTTCAATTCTGCATTTCCAGCTAATTTCTGAGTGGCGGTTTTATCAGTTCTGAATGGTACTTGTGTCATATTTGGTGACTCATTTAGAAAAAAGTCTAGGTTGCCACTTACGACCAATTGTTATTAAGATACAAATACAAAAGATATATAATAAAAACAAAATTGTTGAAAATGCATGATCGTTATTGGAAGTCTTTTAAAGATAATCGAGATTAAGTAAAGTCACAGAATTCCCTCTATAATCAGGGTTCCCACGCATCCTGGAAAACTAAATTCTCATATCTCCATGCACACAGCTCATTAATGATCACATTTCTTGTTGCTGTGATAAATACATGCACAGTGAGGGTAATTGTATGTGTAATGCACTTTAATTTTCTGTAAAATAATATAAGTTCTAGTCGATTTAAACTGTTACTTATGGGCTGTGGCCAAATTAATGTAGTCAGTTTGTCAAAAACTGCAGTTTATATCGCCCCTCTGTAAGCAAGTGCTGTCCTAGATTGTCAAGAAAAACGAGTGGGAACCCTGTATAATATATAGTGTGTTCTTTGTCGTGTTAGAAGTAGGACTGGGTATTGTTTTAAAGATTTAGCTATCAGTGTCTATAGTAGCTGGAGTTGTGAGTATTGCAGTCTGGAGCAATGTGCTCGCTCTGGGGAACTGCCTTCTCTTTTAACCTACAATGCAGCTAACGTTAGTTAGGTTACTTGCTGTGCCATTATTCACACTATATCGTGGTATTTGTCGTGATTTCTCCAGAATCACATACCCCACCTTTAAATGTGTCTCAAAAGGCTCCATGCTTTAATAGAGCGTTCGAAGAATTGGAGCAACGGAGATCCTACAGGGAGAACCAATCCCACCCCAACACATTAAAGTACACATTCAAAGAAGGCTGTAAACCTTCATGAACGCCAGGGCTTAGCAAGACACTGATACCAAAGTGGTGGAGGGAGCAAACGGCAAATGTCAGCTGGTAGCCAATGCTGCATTAATAAGCTGTTGATACTGAGAATGAATGAGACAGCTGATGCTGAGCAGCTGACGTGGGTTCAGTGGTCTGCCTGAACTAACACTTACTAACTTTTTTTTTTCATCCTTTTAGTATAATATAAAATAGTATGAAGTTTAAAAAGTGTTACACTTTAATGAGAATGAGTTTAAATAAGGATTCAATGCCAACTTTACATTGTTCAATACTTGATGCTTTGGAGACATTTAAATAAAAAAAAAACATTAACAGCCAGTCCGTTTGCACCTAATGGTGCAAATTAGCTCATGAGCTAAACCCGCTACATTTACACTGACGTTCTGTAAAGCTGCACTAATCAATATTTTTATAAAAAGAATGGATCACATGACTTTGTGTGATGTGAAAGGGATTGAATGTGGTGATTTATCACCCGACTCTACAGTTCATCTCAGTTCTATTCAGCACTTCAGCGTCTTCTAGTTCACTGGCATTGTTCACTTTGGCCCACGACTTTACTGTTTTGGTTCAGTCAGTGTTGTGTTTACAGCTTGTTCCACTGAAAATAAAAATCAATTTACAATGTCAATGTAGATTAATTGTCTCTGCCCCTAAACAACAACAAAAAATATTTCCATGCAGTACAATATGTTTTTATACTTTTATCTTCATTCTAGCAAACATTTTTCTTCCAAACAGCAGACAGCATTTTTCTGCACTGACACTTATTTTCCCTGTTGCGGTACGGATTCAGTTTTTGGCTCAAACGCTCTTTAGAAAGGCAGAAACTCGAGGTCATTAAGGGTGACTGAAAAATATCTGGCTGGACGGACGCATGGAAAAACACCAATAAGCAAACATGATGAACCCAATACATCTCTGGTAATGTGGGATGCATAGCAGGGTACAGCGGAGCATTTGCACGGCTGAGGTTATGAGGAGGAAGAGGGGAGGGAGGGAGGTGGGGGGACGCGTCCATTACTGCTATGTGAAACCCTCTTGCCTCGGAGAACGGCATGTTATGAAAGATGCTGTAATGCATTTGTTGCGCGTTACATCACCTAATTCTGACTTACAATGAGATTACGCTGGTCGGAACAAAGCTTGATAAGTAACCTTGTCTGAGACGCAAAAATGGGGCACAAATCCTTTTAGTCAGAGGGTGAAGGATTGGTTTGCCACACAGAGGCAGCGGGCGTACGCAGGAGTGTACCAGCTTCAGCCAAAGAAATGATGGATTTCTGTCATTATAAGGCAGTGTGCACTTATTTGAGCAAACAGGAGTTACTCACACTGACATGGAGACTGGACATCAATACACTGACACACACTTACTTCTTTGGTCATTTCGTCGTTTCTCAGCTCAGAAAATTCTTTATAAAACTGTTGTTACATAAACTCCACATGAAGAGGACAGCAAAATAGCACCTATTACACGTTATGAAAAAGGTCTTTAAGTAACTTCATCACCATGACAACCGTGTCTACAAAGGTGGCTCAAATCATTCCAGCTATGAGACAGTTGGCACTATGACCTATGATCTATGGAAGATGCTAAAAGACAATTATCTAATACGCCAAAGGGAACAGATTTGATAAACATGACAACAAACTATGCATAAAGGAAGCTGAACACAGGAAGACTGTACTCACTGAGCAGTCACAACTTTAAACAGGGATATGAGTCACATAATCATAACACAGAGGGTTGACGGATGCTGCTGATTAGCATTCAACGCAATATAGCCGAGTGTGCAGTGGTCATGGAGTTACTTTAAGTTGTTTTTCAAGTTTTTACTCAGACTTAGTGGTTATTTGATGAAATTGGTAATTGCCCCACTAAAGGAGCATCTAGCCGGGGGAGTTGCAGACTGCCAGCAAACGAATAACTGCTCGCCCTTTCAAGCGTGTACGAGAAACCACGGTTCAACATGGCAGACTCCGCAGAAGAGCACCCGCTCTCTCTGTAGATATAAACGGCTCATTCTAAGGTAACAAAAACACAACAATTCTCACTTTCAGGTGATTATACACTAATGAAGACATACATATGAATAATATATTCCACTTCTGCCAATAGATCCTCCCACATGATACACACCAGTGACTGGATTGTATCGATTTTCCACATAAAACTATCACATGTTCTGAGTAATTCAAATCCTATATTCTAAAAGATAAAAATCTGTTATCAATTATTCAATTATAATAAGATTCTCAAAACTGTGTGTTTGTTAATGAACTTCCTTCTTTAACCTAATAAGGTACAATGAAATAAGATACTGTATAGTTTTTGTGCCATTAAAATGGGAAAATGAAGCCCTTATTCAGCCTGCTGTTTACATTACTCTACCCCTGAATGTAACATGCTATAATCCTCGTTTGCCAACAGTTGACTGCTAATACTGGCTAGCAGGATTAGTAGCTTAATGTTACTGAGTTCTCTATGGAGGAGATGAGGACAGGAAATCAACAGAGAAGCCAAATTCAAATTGAAGGCCTAACATTTTTCTACTACAACTCTTTGCACCTTAGCTTCCTATTTATCTTTTTTATCTTTCCTATCTAAGTATTTGGGTCGTCATAGCAGCCAGGTACATTAAAATACAATAAAATA